CCAGGTTCGGTATAACCGGCCTGGGCGCAGCCGCGGTAGCCTGCAGCCCTGCGACCGCTGGATTGCCCGCCGCCGCGGCGGGGTTCACCAGGGCCTGCTTGTTCAGAGCTACGCCTGTGTAGTTCAGGGCCGTGAGCTGATTAATACCGTACGATTGGGACGCTTGAGAAAGCTTGATGGCCTTCGCGTAGTTCTTCTGGGCCATCTCTTTCGCGAGGGCGGCCGGGTCTAGGTGCGCCGGCAGGCCCGACGCCATGCCAAGGCTGTTCAGCATGTTCAGATTGGCCATGTTCGAGGCGTTATAGTTGGACATCGATGCCATGTTGGTGACGGTCGGCACATTCGTCATGGAGGCCATGGAGGCCATGGATGCCATGGAGGCCATGTTGACCACACCTGGCATCGAGGTCAGACCCGCGACTGAAGTCAACGGACTCATCGCGGACTGCACGCTGGCCCCGGACAACGCCAGTTGATTCGCTATCGACTGTTGGTGTTGTTGTTGCTGTTGCTGCAACTGTTGCTGGTGCTGTTGCTGCTGCTGCTGCTGCTGTTGTTGTTGTTGCTGCTGCTGTTGAGCTTGCTGTTGGGCTTGTTGTTGGGCTTGCTGCTGCTGTTGATGTTGCTGCTGCTGCTGTTGAGAGATCGTCGACGGACTCGAATGATTCAATTCGGGGGAATTATGCGTGTTTTCGGCTTCGTGATTCTGCGTGACGTTCGACTGCTTGTTAGCGCCGTTATTATTGTTACTGTTACTTTCGGCAGTCGGAGGTGGTGGCGGCGGGTTGTTGCAGGGATCCATCAGCACGCCATTGTTGGCGTCGGCGCAGTTATTCACTGTCGCACCGCCGGTTCCCTGAGAGGAGGAGGAGGACTGAACCACCACCGCGTGGTGGTTGCTTTGCACGTTCGAGGGTTGCACGACCGATTGGTTAGAGGTTTGGGTGGGTAGGGGTGGTGTTCCAGTGTACTCACATGACACAGGCACGAACGGCTGCTGCAGCTGTATTAACTGTTGATAGGTCGTCGCGCCGGTTGGCTGATAGACCGGCATGCCGGACTTGTCGCCCGCCGGTCGTTTATACGGAACCATTCCTGGGAAGGCCTGCAATACAGAAACGTAACAGATATTTAGGATTAAAAGAAAGGGCCTGCAGGTCTCCGTCCGGGAGACTTCGCGCGTGATTATGGCTTCCAGAGAAAGAGAGAGAAAGAAAGTAGCTGGCTTTTCTTGCCGTTCTTGAGTTCGTGTTTCCAATACGTTAATCGAGTCCTTTATCATTCTACACGAATCCGTTCTCGAGCCTGATAGATTCACTGGATAATCTGCTCAAGTCTTGGTACATTCAGGATTACGTACAGTGCGCAAAGAAGGCAGTTGAAAGAAATATCAGCGATGAGATTCAAGTATCATTAACCCAATCAGATTTACTAGTAAACTTGTTTAAAATGCCGGAACAAATATCTCTATGTCTACGTGTCGTTTCAAGTGACAGCCTGTACGCAATAAGCACTGCTAGTAAGAACACTCACAAATGTTTGTATGTGCAAGCACAGATAATTATAGCGCAATTAGTTCTCTGCTGAAGCTTCAACGTGTCATACGTGTTTCAAAACACACAATAGAGCGTAGAACTTAATCAAAATTACAGAAGATGTTTACAAACTTAAAAAGGTATTTCATCAATGGTTCAACTTAATCTACAATGCATTAGATATTCTAGAAGTTCATTAAGATACTCTAAATATCTACATATCTACTTATCAGTAACTTGATGTATCTACTTGAATTGTGAGTACTCTCACACTTAACAGTGCTTACACGTCAGATAAGTTGCCCAACGAAGCAATATGGTTCATTGCATTTGACTGCCAAATTAACTAGATACGCACAATACACGTATCCATACGTGGTCCTCTGTGACCATTTAGTCAGATGGCTCCATAAACTAAGACTTAAGACAGGTCTCTGTAGGCTGTTCATTGGGAGATGGACTATGTGTTCGTCATTGTTTGATGTATACGCATGGAGATGCGGTTGTATGTTGTATAGATTAGATTGTCACGGCTTGAGTATGAATTGGTTTTGCGTTGCGAGACTACACGATAAATTCCTACGGGTTAGTAGACCGCGCGATAAATTCTTACGCGTTAGTAGACCACGCGATAAATCTCTACGGGTCAGTAGACTGCGTGTTAAATTCTGACGCGTCTACAGTTCAGGCGATAAATTCCTAGATTCAAGTAGACCATGCGTTAAATTCCTACGCGTTAATAGCTCACGCGGTAAATTCATATATGTTAGTAGACCACGCGTTAAATTCTTATGCATTAGTAGAGCACGCGTTAACTTCCTACGCGTTGAATTTCTACGCGTTCATTCTCTACGCGTTGAATTCCTACGCGTTAAATTCCTACGCGTTGAATTCCTACGCGTTAAATTCCTACGCGTTGATTCCCTAAGCGTTGAGTTCCAATCCATTAAATTCCTACGCGTTGAATTTCTATGCGTTACATTCCTACGCGTTGAATCCCTACGCGTTGAATTCCTACGCGTTGCATTCCTACGCGTTGAATCCCTACGCGCTGAATTCCTACACGTTAAATTCCTACGCGTTGAATCCCTACGCGTTAAATTCCTACGCGTAGAATTTCTACGCGCTGATTCCCTAAGCGTTGAATTCCAATCAATTAAATTCCTACGCGTTGAATTCCAACGCGTTAAATTCCTACGCGTTGAATCCCTACGCGTTGAATTCCTACGCGTTGATTCCTTACACATTGATTCCCTAAGCGTTGAATTCCAATCCATTAAATTCCTACGCGTTGAATTCCAACGCGTTAGATCCCTATGCGTTAAATTCCTACGCGTTGGATCCCTACGCGTTAAATTCCTACGCGTTGAATCCCTACGCATTAAATTCCTACGCGTGGAATTTCTACGCGTGAAATTTCTACGCGTAGAATTTCTACGCGTTGATGCCTTACACATTGATTTCCTAAGCGTTGAATTCCAATCCATTAAATTCCCACGCGTTGAATTTCTACGCGTTAAATTGCTACGCGTTGGATCCCTACGCGTTAAATTCCTACGCGCTGTTTCCCTACGCGTTAAATCCCTACACACTGCATCTCCACATATTAAATTCCTACACGTCGAATCGTCCTCGTTGATTCTCTAAGCCTCAAATTGCAAAGTATCAGATCTGTAACCATTAGACTTCCATATATGGCCTCACGCTATATCCCGATATTTCCATTGAACTACAAGTTCATCATGCGTGGCTTCCTACGCGCAAAACCAAAATATATAAATATAAACCGTGCGTTGTTACTGTTTTCATGACTCCATAAACTCGTCTCCATGGTAACGGACCAATGACAAGATGGCGGTCTCCCACTGAACAGTCCAATATAAAATAGCTCGGACCTCGAAAACGGATCATTGTACCGAAAAACGGTAAAGGACTTTTCGCTTCGTCTTGCCGCGTATTCATCGTTTGAAGATAAGTATAAGTAAAGGTCCGAGGTTAGTCAAGTAAGTCGAGTTCTTCATCGTTTCACTTTTATTCGAATGAACGTAATGTAAAGATTGAGTGTATGATTCATTGGTTAGATTCGGCACTTACAAAGTTCTCGTAGTAGAACGATCCGACAGACTTCATGTCCATCTGCAACAAAGATAGGATCGGTTTCAACTAGTTTCAAGGAGAAGGTTACGTCGCTATATAGTTGGAGTTCCAGGGGAACACGTGTGGGACGAGGGACAATTAGACGGTCAAATAATGTTCGGGTAATGATGAATTACGACAAAACTAGGTCAACAGTGGTGGTACCAATAATAGTAACAGTAGTAAAACGGTTAATAATTAGTGGTAGCTGGTAACAGTGATAATAGTAGTGTGTAAAAGTTGTGCCGATGACGCAGCTGGCGGCGACGTTTCCCAGACGAAGGTCGTCGTTGAACAACAAATTCGTTTGTCACATTTTCGTCTGTGCTGTTTCGCTATATAGCATTTCCCTGTTCCTATTTAATCGAGGCGAAATGACCAGCCATAGTTACCGGCGGACCGTCACAAAGAGAAAACCGTGGGGTCCTGTTTCGTACTTGAAAATCAGATTCAGCTGAGGAAACTTTTTGTTGTTGTTGTCTTTCATCGAGGAGAATATCGACGACGGAGAAATCGTGTTAGACGCGGCTCGTGTTTTATGACAGATATAGACAAATACGCGAAGTAACGAAATCAAATGATAAAAGTTCGTGGCAGCAGTGAGCAAAGTGACATGACGGTAAGAACAGACATTATCAATTAATCGGTTGGCAATAGACATGGAGGGAGGAAGCGAAACAGTTCGAATGCAAAAGCCAGAAAAGCTGGTAAAAAGTTTGTCGAACAGAGCGGAAGTGGTACGGATACAACTGCGATTACGATAACGCTATGTGTGTATGCATGTGTGTGTGTAGGTGTGTGCTGACATGACAAGAAAAATTAGTATCTGCGGAACAGGAAATCCAGTATCGTTCGAGATACAAAAATATTATACAAATTTTCACCGTGGGACAATTTGTACAATTATCGATAAATTAGGGGATCTCGCAAGCTGAAAATAAAAGAGTAACAAAATTCTATTTAATTAAAAAATGTAACGTTCGCGCGACTGGAAAGTAAAGCAATATCCAGTTCGACGACGGAGAAATGAAAAATGGCGGACGAAGAGAGACGGAAAATCAGATTGTCAGAGGTCGTTCCATAATAAACGTTGGATTTTCATTACTTTTTTTTTCTTGGTTTGTTAATATTCGTTTGTACACGTTTATGAATAATTTGCTGAAAAATTTATGGTTTAGGAAATATTTTATTTTGAAGTTTCTGGCGATGATTAATTATTGCGGTTATTTTGTATTATAGTGACTCTATAAATTAGGAGGTTAGAAATTTTTTAAATTTTGAGGTTGGGAATTTAGAAATTTGTAAAAATTCAAATTTGGGAATCTAGAAATTTATGAACTCAGAAATTTGCAAAATTTTAAATTTAAGGATGTAGAAATTTGTAAAATACCAAATTTTTAAATTTAGATACTTTCAAGTCTGAAAATTAACAAATTTTGCAATTTTCAATTAAACTTCAAGAATTTTGTGAAATTCCAAATTTTGGAATTCTCACGTTTGGAAATTTTCAAAATTAAAAATTCACCAATTTACAAATTTCAAAATTGAAAAATTCAGAAATACAAAACTTCAGAAGCTGCCAAAGCTTCAGACGTCCAATGAGCGCATAAAAAAATCCTCTCATTATATTGCCAATTACAATCATCAACCCCATTGGATTATAATATAATTTCATTCTTTTATTATATAATTTTATATAAAATTCTAGGCGTCCAATGAGTGCATAAAAAATCCTCTCATTATATTGCCAATTACAATAATCTACAACCCCATTGGATTATAATATAATTTCATTCTTTTATTATATAATTGTAATATTTCATATAATTTTACATAAAATTCTAGGCGTCCAATGAGTGCATAAAAAATCCTCTCATTATATTGCCAATTACAATAATCTACAACCCCATTGGATTATAACATAATTTCTTTCTTTTATTATATAATTGTAATATTTCATATAATTTTATATAAAATTCTAGGCGTCCAATGAGTGCATAAAAAAAATCCTCTCATTATATTGCCAATTACAATAATCTACAACCCCATTGGATTATAACATAATTTCATTCTTTTATTATATAATTTTAATATTTCATGAAATTTAACAAAGAAACTTTACTCATCAATATTCACTAATATACGCACCCGATAAGTTGGCAGCCGTATACAATGCAAATCATCAAGACTCACGTGCCAACTTACCAAAAGCGCACAATTCCCACATAAATTAATTTCCACGTAAATTAATTCACCACTATTAAACCCCCAAAATCGAAATTTATTATGGAACACCATAAAGGTCACCTTATACCAAGCAAACTACCGTGTCCATAAAAACCATACAAAGATCTGGCAAAGAAAAAAAACTGAAAGAAGAAATATCGCGTTATGGTGGTGAAAAGGAGACAAAACTTTCCAGTCATTGTCCAGAGCATGAGATGACGTTTGATACCATCACCTCGATAGTCGCTTAAGCACAACATGCATCATCGGCGCAAGCTTAAAGTTTACACAGATCTAACACTCCATCGACGCAGCACCGATTTTTCACCATAATAACCAGAGGCTCTTTTTCACGTGCGAAATAGGCGCTGACGTAGTGGGGAGATTAGAAACGGGATATTATTTTATTACGAAGCACGCGTGCTCTTTTTCTTCAGCAACTCGGATTCGGGATACTACTTCCACTTTTTTCTGTTTCCTGTGGATGCAACGATTGTTACTTCTCGTGGAGGTTTGGACGAAGCTGCTGTAAGCTCAGGCGTTTAGGGGATCGGTAGGACAAGTGCACAGGGTTTGGTCGAAGATTATTCGATTAGTGAATTTGGTAGATCAGTGTTTCTCAACCATTTTGTGTCGTCTATTCTTCCATTCAAAATATTTCTGATTTGTGTCTGATAAAAATTTAATAGATGTGTAAATTTGTGTTTTAAGATATTTTTGTGTAAATTTGTATTTTAAGAAATTTTTGTGTAAATTTGTGTTTTGAGAAATTTCTGTGTAAATTTGTGTTTTGAGATATTTTTGTGTAAATTTGTGTTTTAAGAAATTTTTGTGTAAATTTGTGTTTTGAGAAATTTCTGTGTAAATTTGTTTTTTGAGAAATTTCTGTGTAAATTTGTATTTTAAGAAATTTTTGTGTAAATTTGTGTTTTAAGAAATTTTTGTGTGAACCTGTATTTTAATGAATTGTGATAGAAACTTGTATTTTAATCAATTTTAATAATTAGATAAGTTTAAAAAAATGTTGAAAGTGTAGAAATTTATAAATTTATTTTCATGAATATATTTATGAATTTATTCTTGAAAGTGTGTATTTTCAAAAATATATTATTATTAGTATTTATCTGTATAATTGTTCATAAATTTATTTCATACACTTCTTTTAATTTTATAAAAACTTGGTGATATAATATATACTGTAATGTGCACTGTATGATTATATAAATAGATTATAATATAACATTGTATATTGCAGTTGCATATGTAATGTATATGCAGTATATGTAACATATGTTGCATATGCATTTTACATATATTATGTATATGCATTCTATATATAGTATATATATGTATATGTGTATGCACTCTACATATAGTATACATATGTAACATACATTACATATGCATTCTACATATACTATATATATGTAACATACATCATTACATATGCATTCTACATATAGTATACATATGCAACATCCATTGCATATGCATTCTACATATAGTATACATATGTAACATACATTACATATGCATTCTACATATACTATACATATGCAACATACATAACATATGCATTCTGCATATACTATACATATGTAACATACAATGCATATGCGTTCTACATATAGTATACATGTGTATACGTATTATAACACACATGGTACATATCGTATTCTGTACATATATTATGTAATTATACAATCTATATTATACATGTATATAATATACCTTATGTATTGTTTATTGTACATGCGTTATATAACATACACTGTACACTGTACATGTACACACATGTATAGTAGACATTGCACATGTATAACATATATTGTATGTTATATAAATAAACAAAATTGCATATTTTAAAATAACCTATACACTTGAAAAGGAACAAGTACACTTCAATGAAGTTCATCATTTAAATTTAATTGATGGAAAATAAAAAAATAAACCATACAAAATTTATTGAAACAAAATCCCTCACATATAACAAAATTTAGTAACCTTGTTTAAATAAATCCTATAAATTAACTGGAATTGAAATTTATAATTGTTGATCTTGTGTTGCATTTACACAAAACGGCAGCTATTATTTCCTGATGATTTAACGAAACCATAGGTTGAGAAACACTGCGTTAGATCATCCCATAAATAAAATCATAATAAATATATTTAATGACATTCATAATTATAAAGAAACAATTATTTAAAAATTTGTTCATTATTACTTTATAAAATTTGCTTTTACTTTCAAAAAATTAGTTTCCAACCTAACCTAAAATGAAACATTACGTAATCAAACGAGACACGTTCATTTTAGTTCAACGAGAATACGATATTATTTATGGGACAACTTGTAAAAATCGATCGTGTCCTTCCTCAACAACCACAAATGATTTATCCTCTCAAAATATTTCAAAGATTCTCCCATAGCAGTCATAAAACACGTATGTACTTATTTTCCATCTCTCGAATGGTGGATACTGTGTCAAGATATAACCTCAAATTCGTTTCGTGTAAAGTTAATTGAGTTTGTAATTCGAAATAGAGATTTATGTATGCACTGTGTTCAATTTACAAAATTAATATGCATTTTCGCAATTAGGTTATGAAATTTTTACAAGCTTCTACGGTTATATGTATATTTTATGACATTTATAAAATTATGTCTTATCAAATTTACATTTTTTTATACTTTATGAAATTAGTACAACTTTGTTCGCTTCAATATTTGATGACATTTACACAATTATGTTTTGGCAAATTTTTTATTT